CAGCTGAAGCATACAGAATTCTTGTTGAGACTTACGGCGACCAATCACTGTCGAAAACAACATGCAGAGATTGGTTTAGAAGCTTCAAAATTATTGATTTTGATGTTTAAGATAAAGAACGCTCTGACTCATTGAAAAAGTTTAAAGACGAAGAATTGGAGGCATTACTTCATGAAAACGCATGTCAGGCGCAAGCAGAACTTGCAGAATCATTAGGAGTTGATCACACAACAGTTTCTAAATGTTTGAAAGCATTAGTAATGATTCAAAAGCAGGGAAATTGAATGTCTTACGAGTTTAAGCCGAGAGACGTCGAACGGCGTCTTGTCACGAGTGAATAGCTGCTTCAACGGCAGAAAAGAAATGATTTTTTGCATTGTATCGTGACCGGCAATGAAAGTCAATACACTACGATAATCCTAAGCGTAAAAGATTGTTGGGTAAGCTCGGCCATGCATCATCATCGACGGCAAACACGAATATCCAGGGTTCAAAGCTTCTGCTCTGTATTTGGTGGGGGGGGGACAGCTGAGTGTAGTTTATTATGAACTGCTCAAACCGACTGAAACCATCACAGAGGATAGCTATCGACTATAATTGATGCGAGTATTGAAGGAAAAAAAACGGCCGGTATACGATCAGAGACGCGATAAAGTGATTTTGCAACATGACAAACGTTGGCCACATGTTGCAAAACGGGTGAAAACCTACTTGGAAGCGCTTAGATGGGAAGTCCACCCACACCCGCCGTATTCACCAGACATTGCCCCGTCTGATTATCACTTGTTCCGATCGATGACACTTAGGCTGGCTGAGCTGCACTTTCAATCTTATGAAGATGCAAAAAAAAAAAAATGGGTAGCCCTGACTTATGGTTAGCCTCAAAAGACGCGTCGTTTTTTTCGACAGTGGAATTCAAATGCTGACAAAAAGTGAGATACTTTCTACTAATTTTTGTAAATAAAACATTACTTTTCATAAAAAATCAGCGAGAACTTATTCAAGGTCCTAATACACACACACATATATATATATATATATATATATATATATGTATGTGTGCGTGTGTGGATAGATATGAGTATATACGCTCTTAATTTTCTTATAGGTCAGTGCGTATATGCGCGTATGTTTATGTATTGTGGCCGAGTGGTTAGAATGTTTACAGTCTGGTCATGTGACGCGGGTTCGAATCTCACTATGGTCATTTTATCATTATAAGAAATTTACGCAAGCTTTCTTTTGACGCCTAAATTAATTCTTTAACAAAAACTGTTCAAAACAACTTCGAGTTATGACTCTTATGATTTACATAATGACTTCAAACGAACTGTGCGTATATATATATGTATATATAAATAAAAAGAAAGAACTGTAAGATATATAATCCGGTGTTCTTATAGATATTTATATTTTTACAAAATAGTGCTCAATGTAAATTTACAGAGCATTAATATTATAAATTAATTGATTTAAAATATGTTTTTTTTCGCTACACAGTTCAAAAATGGAAGCTGAAAGCTCAGAATTTAATTTTGTAATTAAATTAAAGACATTAGTTCCATTTCATCCTCAAGCGAATTTTGGAATTCAAATTTAATTTTTGAAACATGGTTAGAACTGTGTAGCGAAAAAAAAAACATATTTTAAATCAATATATATATATATATATATATATATAAAAGATTTAAGAAACAGCAGATATTTTTATATATAGTGCTCAATATCAAAATAATATTAAACACTGAGCGTTAATAATATTATATAAAAAGATATAAGACATAATATACCTACTATAGTTAAATGGGAAGTTATAAAAAACAGTATCCCGTATAATATTACTAATAGGAAGTGTACAATGTGTTTAGAAGAAAAATGTGCAATATTAACTTTTAATAATCAAATTAAATTATTAAATAAAAAAGAATGAAATAATAGGTAGATGCCGATATACAAACAAATATTGACTTTGTTATTTTAATAATAATAACATAATAAATCAATTAAAATATTAATTAAAAATATTAACGAAAATATTCTAATTTAATTAACAAATATTACAATTTAATAAATGATACAACATAACATAACAACTTCTACATAAACCATAAAAACAAAATAGTTCACTTTCAATTTAAAAATTTACAACTGAAAAAAATCTACAGTTGAAAACATGAAAAGCCATAAACAAAAGCAAAATTTCATGAACGTTGAATTCATGAATACGAACGTGTAGAAAACGGAATTAAAAAAAACGGACTGAAAAAGACGCGAAATAAAGCGAAAAAATTGGAAAAAAAACATTGTAAATACCGTTTAAAACCACAACCCCTGAAGACTGGAAATTTTGTCAAGAAACATCGATGTCGGGATAAAATTGATATTTAAAAGTTAAGTAAGTTTTACATATAATATTATATATATATTGCAGCTCTCGCCTGTGGAACTCCCTTCCCTTCTCCTGTTTCCCTGTGAGCTATAATCTCCAGCTATTCAAGTGTAATGTCAATCGACATCTCCAGTTGCCTTGATCTAGCCACTACCCTCATCCTTTCTTCTATCTCTCCTATCTTATCTTGCTCTAAATTTTCTCTAACCCCTTGCGTCCTAAAAACTTTTCCGCCTTGCTTGGGGTGAAATGCTTAAAAAAAATATATATATATATATATGTATGTATGCGTGTGTGTTGTTCTTAATTGGCTGTATATAAGCGTATGTTTTGAATTATATATATATATATATATATATATATATATATATATATATATATATATATATATGTATACATGTAAATATAAAGGTAAAAAAAGGTCAAATTTGAGCGACGAGAGTCTGTTAATTTTAAAACGCAATCTTCAGGCCTGAAAATTGTGTTCAAACAAGGAAATAGATTGTCACCGCTCAGGTTGATTTCAATGTTCACTTTTATATTTGCATACTCCCAATATCTGATATCGAGCAGTTTTACCCATAAATGTGACACACCTAAAAAACATATTTTATCATATATATATATATATATGTTTGGGGAATCCTTTCTAAATAAATAAATTAATCTGAAAGTCGTCGAATAGATCCGATGAAAGACGCCGAAAAGACAAATCGTCTGCCTGTACATTAGGATGTGTATTTTGTCACTAGAGAATTATCCATTGATCAATAAACTGAGTCGACTTCTTTGCTTTTGTTTTACTAGATTAAGATTTTGGATTGTTTTGGTTTGGGATTATATTGTTATATTGATATGTGAAAACAATACTTGTGTTTTAGTGAAACGTAATGGTGAACTGCGTAGTGAATAAGGACATAATGGGAGGGGAATGAAACGCAAGTAAAAGTTGAAGAAGCTGAGAAGGATTGAAAATGGAATGAAAGATGTGAGTAAAGAAGAAATGTTCGGAAAATGAGGGGAAAAGAGAAGAGGTAAATAAAATAGAGTACAAAGAAGAAGAAGAAGAACAACAACAACAACGAAGAAGAAAAAGAAGCTAAAGAAGAAGAACAATAAAGAACAACAACAACAACAATAAAGAAGAAGCAAAAGAAGAACAACAAGGAAGAAGAAGGAGAAGAACAAAGAAGAAGAAGAACAACAACAACAATAATAGCAACAACAAAGAAGAAGAAGAACAACAATAACAACAAAGAAGAAGCAAAAGAAGAAGAACAACAACAAAGAAGCAAATGGAGAAGTAGAAGAACAACAACAACAATAGCAACAACAAAGAAGAAGAACAACAACTGCAACAACAAATAAGCAAAAGAAGAAGAAGATGCAAAAGAAGAAGAAGAACAACAACAACAACTGCAACAACAAAGAAGAAGAAGAAGAAGAAGAAGAAGAAGAAGAAGAAGAAATGTTCGTAACTTGAAACTATTTTTCCAATAGGAATCAATGTAGAGAAAAAAAGTCAGAGTACAATAAAATTGGAAAAAAAGCACAACACAACACACGAATGTATACAATATGGCGGTCGACTCAAACATTCGGTTCGGCAATGTTCGAGAACCGAAATTTTCTTCGATAAGCGAGACATTTTCATCTTGAATTTTCTGTTCGAAAACCGATTTGTTCGACATGTAAGACACTCTACAATGTACTATGAAAAAAGAAGAAACAATAAAAAAAAAAAAGAAAAAAAAGAAAAGAGAATAAAAAGGAACAAAGATTTTTAGCGGCATCACAACAATAATTTATCTTTGACTGGGAATGATAAAAGAAAAGGACAAGCAAAAAAAAAACACTGGAGGTTACCAAACATTTTAGCGGTCACAATGCAATTTATACTTGACGTAAAATAGCACATAGTATAAAATAAAGACAGAAACGTAATGGTTTCCAAACATAACAATTGAATTTATTTTTTTGGTGTACATGCATATAAGCTGAAGGTTTGAATGAATTATGTCTCTTAGAAAAATATTTGTACCAGGTCTCATAAAGTTGAAGTAATTATTAAACTGAAGTTTTAGAAGAATAAAGTTCCTGTTGCATGTTAGGAAAAGTTGGTAACGTTCAGAAGAGTTAAGAGTTCGTAACTTGTGTGAATGTTGGTAATGATCTTTAACGTCTGACCGCATAGTCAAGACGGAAGTTCTTGAAAGTTACATTTTGGAAGCAAGGAATAAACGCGAAGAAAAACGGAGAGAGAAATTTTTACTCGTGTTTTGTTTATATAATTTTGTTGACTGGCTCAAACCTTAGTGAATTTTTTTCATTCCTCGCGTGCAGGATATCTGATTGGTCAGAATTGACCAATCAAGAAAAGCTAATTTTGAGGAGATTAACCAATGAATGCTTGTCGCATGATTTGTATGTATGTTGTTGATAATTTTAAGGGAAAGAGTGCATTTTCCCACATTTGGGTAAAACGCATGTTGGAAGATTCCACAATGGGAAACATACAAAGACAACAACACAGAAGGAAAAGAAAGGGAAAAGAAAGAACGACAAGGCAATAGGCAAGGAAGAAGAAAACGAATAATAGTGACTTAAAAGATTAAAAGGAGAGAGTGTGGGAAAGAAAGAAAGAAAGAAAGAAAGAAAGAAAGAAAGAAAGAAAGAATATTAACGAGTGAAGAAAAACCAACGAAAAAACGAAGGAAGATATGCTGTAGATAAGGGCGGGGCTAAAGAAGAGGAGAAAAAGAACAAAACGATGAGAGAAAAGGCTCTTGGAAAGTGAAAGACTCAGTAAATAAAGATGAATAAAGCAAAGACGGTTTGAAATACATTTGGTTATTTTTTCGACCTCCCACTCCAAAAAAAAAAATTTCTTATTTCATTTCTTTAACAAATCGTTAAGTTATTAGCGCAAAAATATCCCATATGATACAACACAGTTTCGAATATTGTCAGCGTTGATAGGTTTCGCCCACGAATGCGCGAACACCTTTGGCGCCAATATTATTTGGGTTTCCCATTTTATACAAGAATTCAATTAGCAGTCTCTTGGAGATGCTTGTTTAAGTGCGAGGAAAATAAAGTAAACACGGAGAGAAAAAGAATGATGGGAAGATAGATAGTGTGTGAGACAAGTAAATAAATGGATTGACGGTGAGAGTCGAAGAATAATGTGGAGACACCTTGATACAAATCGAGTTTTAAACAGAAAGACTTAAGTAAACAACAAGACGACAAAGAGAGAGAGAGAGAGAGAGACCGACAGATAGAGGCAGAAAAAGATTGGAAGTGAGTTTTCTAATTTCAGTTTCTTTGGCCGTTATAGAGTTAAATAAGTAAAAGGTTTAAATGTTTGATAAATAGATTTGAAATGCAAGCTATTGCAGGTTTGCATAAAGATACACAAGAGTAAAAAAAATGAATTAAACCAATATGAAAAAGGTACTGATGGGACTTGACACAAATGCATGTGTACATATCTTATTTCTTCTTATCTGTTCGTTCTAATAATTTGTAAATAGATAGATGAGGACTGAAATAGACAGAGGGAAGACTTAGATAGATAGATAGATAGATAGATAGATAGATAGATAGATAGATAGATAGATCATGAACAGAGTGAGAAATATAAATATGAAAAGACTGAAATTGCGATAGATAGATAGATAGATAGATAGATAGATAGATAGATAATAGATGATATGAAAGGTCTTGAATAATAGATAGATAGATAGATAGAATAGATAGAATGATAGATATGAACATAAATAATAGATAGATAGATAGATAGATAGATAGATAGATAGATAGATAGATAGATATGAACAGGTCGAATAGATAGATAGATAGATAGATAGATAGATAGATAGATAGATAGATAGATAGATAGATCATGAACAGAGTAAGAAATATAAATATAAAAAAGATTTAAATTGCAATAGATAGATAGATAGATAGATGGATGAGATAGATAGATAGATAGATGAATATTATGAAAGATAGATAGATAGATAGATAGATAGATAGATAGATAGATAGATTGATGGATAGATTGATATTTTGGGAGAAGATAGATTGATGGAAGATAGATAGATAGATAGATAGATGGATAGATCATGAACAGAGTGAGAAATATAAATATGAAAAGTTTGAGATTGCAATAGATAGATGGATGGAGATAGATAGATAGATAGATAGATAGATAGATAGATAGATATGAACAGGTCGAATAGATAGATAGATAGATAGATAGATAGATAGATAGATAGATAGATAGATCATGAACAGAGTGAGAAATATAAATATGAAAAGATTGAGATTGCAATAGATAGATAGATAGATAGATAGATAGATAGATAGATAGATATGAATATGAACAGGTCGAATAGATAGATAGATAGATAGATAGATAGATAGATAGATAGATAGATAGATAGAAAATGTGTCCCTAATCTGGACTCTATTCTCTCCCAACTCTACAACAAATACCTTGGTGCCTCTTGCTTTCCAGCTCGTTGTTAATCCTCTATTGTAATCTATGTCTTTAAGATCATCTCTAGTTAACATTCAGATCTCACTGATTATCATTCCGTTAGTCTTTAGATCGTTTTGGCGAAATACTATAGGGTTTAATGAACCATGAATATGTTAAACAACTCACTTCACACTGCCTTCTTCAGATAAACAATATGAATTTTGTTTCTCACAGTCAGCCGCAGATTTGTTACCGGTTATTACTGAATTTGTCTATCAATCTTTAGAGAAAAAAATAAAACACACGTCTAAAACATTACATTACTCGCCATCTTTATTTGAATCCATTCTTAAAGAATTTAACTTATACAATCAGTACGTACATAAAAAACAGTCTCAGATTAACAGAATACCACCCCACTACGCTTAATGAGAGGACAAAAATGAAAACCAAGAACTCCTCCTACTAGACAAACACATATACACAATTACGAATACACATTAACATCCGATGCCAGCTTAGATATATTAGAATTTTAACAAACTTGCATACATATGGCATTATCTACGGTTTAATGCCTGTGATACATGACTGACCAATGAGAATCGAGCCAATCAAAACT